GTACTCCACAGGGCTGTCATTAAGTTTTAATTGATCTTCACACCTGTAGCAAACTTGTTACTTTATGGGTGAATTGCATCAACTACAGGCCAGTTCACCTGTAACATCAAGGGTCCATCAAATATACTCAGCGGTAACAGGTGTTACAGGTTACGGCCCTTATTGGCAGCCCTGCTCCCAGAAACATCGGGTAGGGGTGTGTGGCCCAGTTTGCAAAACCTGACCAAAATCTGTGATTTTCCCTACCCTATTTATGACCTGACCAGTAAATTTGTTACCCGTCTTATGACCTGACCCTTAAATCAATACCCTGTTTCATTGATGGTCTTATCGATACTGATGAAAAACTAGCTTCTTCTTAAAAACATACCCATGTCAAGACTTAAGAATGCAAAAACCATACCCTATATATGACCAAAATAGATACTGTATTTATGACCAAAACGGCTAAAAAACCATACCCCTTGGGGCCGTTCATACCTATATTTCCCATATAAGGGAGTAACCCCGCCGGGATTAATCTGCAGAGACCTATTAAAAATGTAGAGAGAGGCAGGCAGGGAGGGAGGGAGGGGTGGTAACGAACAAAGTCACCTGCTTGGAATCATGGTAGTTGTATTCATTAAAACAAATATCTACCTGGTCTAAGATGATTACCGTAATACATCCTGGGGTTAACGTTGTCAGTAGGAGGACAACTGGTTTTCACAGGTGGGCAAAACGTTTTGACCTGAACTTCTTTGTAAGGAAACCTTTCCTCTAGATGGTCAAACCAGGTGGGAAAAATCATCCTCACCGCCAGTCAATTTGTCTGCCCAGTGCCTCAGACCGTTAATGAGACTCCTGCAGGCATATCTCATTAGAGGGAATTGGCTATTATCTAAGTACTGACATTAATGAAGATGACATTTATGTTCATAAATATTAAGTAACTCTTCAAATGGACCAAAATTGTTATGCACATTTTTTAAATTTTTATTTGGTTTCGGTGAACACTTTACAATGCAAAGATGGTTTATATGGAAAACAACACTTAAAAGAAGTCCTTAACAATTCCTGTTAGCTCTTATTATAGCAGAGCTAAAAATCTTACAAACTAATTAAGCTTCCTCCCCCACCCCCGCCGAAAAAAAACACACACACACACAAAAAGAGATGAAAATAGTCATGGCAGCTAGCCACTTTGTCACACCAAACAGGTCTTAAGACCAGCTTGAGACTGCCTTAAAACCATTTGCTGCATTACTTTGGTTCCATTCAGGTTCAGTAATCTAACAACGATTACACAAACACGCAATAAAGAGGGCTTGTAAACTGGTCTTGAACAGTTAATAAAAAGGTGACCTCAATAAATGACTGGTCGAATTTGGGCTGGGGTGCACCAGTTTGGGAATAAGTTTTTGTCGATTCTATTCAAGTAAAGTTTATTTTATTAAAAAGTCAATCTGGTGACTTTACGAGGAGGTATTTTTCTGAAAATCTCCCCCCAAAAAGAAGCGTTTTGAGCCCACTACCATGACCCCCATGAATAGGTAAGTACCCCCGTCTCGTTTGTTGTCACTGTACTTTAGCCTCAACTGTCAAACTTGTTACACATTTTGTCACAGCTGTCACACAACTGCTGTAACGCAACGAAACAATTTTTGAATCGCAAATTTCCAATATTAAACTGAATCTTTTGTAGATCTATATTCCAGCTGAAAGACAGCAAAATGAGCAGGTCTGCCTAGATTTTACTCTCTTAAAAAAAAATAATACACGTATAATTTCACACACACACACACGCACAATATGCCTTTTACTGTCAAGCATTGTCACCCGCACAGAATATGCGGGGTGAAAATTGAGGACAAAATGTGTGTCACACAAGCATTATGTTTTCAGTCGCCTCGCCCTGCTGCCTTTCGCCTTCAAACCAATCTTCGGCTTCTTTGCATGCGCGGTACCCCTCCCGATGATACGCTTCGAACATGCGCGGCGTGAAAAACTGATTGGCCGTGATGTGTTGTGGGAAGGCGTTACAAAACCATGAGGAGCAACCGCGGCATGAGCGTCTATGACAACACTCACAGCAGCAAAACGTCAATTTGTCGACGTCTGTTTGCTTCAAGACCATACCAGGGTGCAGGCCATCAAAGGCGGGAAACGGATCAGTAGAACGGGCTGCAGCATCTTCCACGTCCGTGTCGCCGTCTGGGGACGGTTTTCTTGGTACGATCAGTAGGATTTCACCGTCCTGATTGTCTTCAGTTTCGTCTCTCTTGTATTTAACTTTAAATCTGTTGATGAAACAAAGCAGAACCATGAACACAAACAAAAGTGTATCCTGATTCCATCGCAGTTGTTTGATTCTGATTGAGGAGCTTACGGTGTTTTGGGTTATTAACCCTAACCCTCCAGGTACAAAAGTACCTTTAAATTGAAAGAAACCTGAAAATAATAGCTTACAAAGATAGAAAAACATCAGAGAGATCATAATAAATCATAAAGGAACAAGGATAGTTAAGGATGGAGAAGATTCACACGGAAACTTTTCAAGATGTTCAAACAGTGATGTAGCTACTATAACTGAACTTTGATATGCTTTGCTGTTTCTCAGTACCGGGAAAACAGCAATTAACCTTTACATCGATATTTATTTATCGTTATTATTATTTTGTAAGAACTTATATATTATTAATATTTGTCTTATTTATTTTATGTGTTGCTATAGCTGCAAATCGCTGTAATGCAAAAGAAACTTATCTGACAGACGGGCAAAACGCTAGCACCAAATGGCCTTTCACAGAATTAGTGAACAGTAATTAACAATGCAGAGTCTATTAGAGCGGTTTTCAATTGAGTGTCGAAAAACCAAAACCAAAGTAATCAATTTAGCCAATCACAAAGGACGCAGATAATCCAGTGAACCAATCAAAACTCCAAGTTATTACATGTAGCTGACGCAAAGCGCGGAAAACGCGTGCGAGCGAATCCCGATTGGTTTTGGTTTTACTCCTGATTGGATGAAAAAGTGGCGCGAGTTTTTAAACCAATCGTGTGGCGCAGTAAGTGCAATACCAATTACTTTTCGACACTCAAATGAAAACCGCTCTACTCACCAATTGGACTACTCAGCCAATCTCAGATCGTAGTAAAACCAAAACCAAAACCAAAACCAAAGTAATTGCCCGACTACTTTCGACACTCAATTGAAAACCGCATTTTTTATTGATCAGAGTTGCAGTTTTTCTTCATTTGTAATTAATCACAACAAAAGTAGTCGAAAGAGAAAAAGAACTACAAACCTGTAAAAACGCGGTTTTTTTCCGGGGTCAGTAGGTTTTACAAACTTCTCGAATAAGTCTGAGATCACGTCGCCGCCTTCTTCACTTAGAAACGAGCAGTTCAGCTTCTTACGAGCCAGCATCAGCGCGTTCAAAAGACTCTCCCCGTACAACTTTTCGTTATTCTTGAAACCGCCGTCCACTACAACGATCCTCTTCAGCCTCTTTTTCAACAGAGGCAGCAAAGCGAGGTTTTCGACATGGCCGCCATCGCTGAGTAGCATCACCGGAGGTGGCATGGGCCCAATGTTTTCTTTGTTAAACATTTCACTCACATAGTGAACAAAGGAGTTGTGTACGATGAACCACCTGAAAAGAGAGAGAAAACCGTCGAGGCGTAGGTTGGATAAGCTAGATACTTTGGACGGGATCGGGGAACCACAGACAGAAAAAGGAAACTAGCTAGGACACCCGAAAAAGATTCGAAGAAGAGTTAATTTAAAGTGAAAAAAAAAGATTATATAACAAGGATGATGGAGCTGAAAACATTTGCGTTCCTACTTATGGCCTTATATGAAATTAGAACCGAGAAGATGAAATCTGGTAAACAAACGTACTCCACGGAGCTTTGTCCTAAAATGCTTGTCTGATATTTCTCAATAAGCTTCAATAGAAAGTACGTGGAACAGTTCATCTTAAAACAAAAACCTTCAGACATTTGACTTGCAAATGTCTAAATTGAAGTTACCTGGCTAACTTTTCCAACTTGTTCGGGTTTT